ACGCTTAGTAATATAAAATAGGAAAAGGCCAAAAAAAAAATCAGTTGTTATTGTAAGCAAAAAAAATAAAATATCTTAGATATTTTTTATACAATACTAATTGGTAGTTTATTTAGCACATAAAATTAATTTTCTTTTTGATCTTGATAAATTAAGCCATTTTTGATCTTGATAAATTAAGCCATGTCAATCTTTTTTTTTTTTGAAAGTTATTGGCTCTATTACATTGTAATATCTGTTCAATGTGCCTCCACTGAGGCTCAAACTCATAATCTTCCAAATGAAAGTCCAACCCGGGTACCATTAGACCACATAGTCCTGGTAAGCCATGTCAATCTAACAAATACATGGTTGCAACATCTTGGGTCATGATTTCGCTTGATGGAGTCCACTGGCAAGGACCGCATTATCGAAGTTGCCTTCATGTACAAAACGAACTCTTGTGGAACAACAAACAACCTTCCTTCCTTGACATCCGAAAAGAACAAGGATCTATCTTACACATGATATGTTGTACGTCAATCAATGTTATAACATCATGGCTAGCTTTGATCTTATTGTTTGTCGTTTGATTAAGAGATCAGTGAACACGATGGCCCAAACGTTAGCAAGGACATCAATAGGCTCTCAATTTCACTTTCATTTTTGGAATTTTATCCCTCCTGACTGTATTCATTTGCTACTCTCTCCTTCAGTTTAATTGAAATTTTTTGGATTTTCAAAATAATAATAATCATCATCAAATTATTATATGCCCCCTCCTCACAATATCTGACATGGCGTGCGATGTCATAGCCACGTGAACAGACGTAACGGAAAATATAAACAGTATTAAATATTGTCCTTGATTGTCCTAAATTTTAAAGTACAGGAATTAAATTGAATAAATTTTAAGTACATGAATTAAATTGAACAAAATACTATAATACAAGGACCTAGCAGATACTTTGACACTAAATTTTAATATCTCAGGTTGACTAAACCATATTATACTCCTATGTATCAAATATTCCCAATACATATGCACAAACTTCAATCGTTATACCCTACACCACGACGCACATAGCACTGTGCGCCACGCGCCTCCCAAAACGACGTCGTTTTGGGGTCGTTTTGGGAGGCGTGGTAGGAAGTTGCTGGGATTATGTGTATTTGTTCACACAATTATGTGTATTTGTTCATACAGTTATGCGTATTGGTTCATACAGTTATGTACATTTTTTATACAATTATGTACATTCTTTTTATACAATTATGTACATCCGAATCAGAAAATTTGTGTGTATTATGTTAATAGTTGATGTGTATTATGTTAAAAGTTTATGTTTATTATGTATTATGTTAGATTATGTGTATTATCTTTTAAAAAGAGTATGTATATTTTGTTATATAATTATGTACATTCATGTATACAATTATGTGTATTCTAGTATAACATTATGTACATTCTTGAACAACGGGTTTTTTTTTTCTTCAACGGGTTTTTTTTTAAAGAAAAAACTACTGTCATTCACTGGGGCGGGAAATTTCAAAAAAAAAAAATTAAAACGACGTCGTTTTGCATCTGGGCGCATAGTGCAACGCGCGCCGTGGTGTAGGATATAAATTGCCCACAAACTGATACATTCATTCCAACAACTTATCATCATTGGGTCGTTAATAAAATAATTTGTATCGTAGAATATTACGTATATATACACTATAATACATTCATTCCAACAACTTATCATTGGGTCGTCGTTATGATTGAGTACAATAATTTGTATCATAGAATCTTAAAATCCCTTCGAAGCTAAGCTTATCTGGCGCATATATTCTCCTCTCAACACATTTTAATTATCTATAATTCATACAAATTCCAATAATATTCCTCATTTGTTTTTTTTTTTTTTGAAAAAAAAAATTAACAATTGTATATGTCTCATATGTTACTCGAAAAATAACATGTGTAAAATGTAGCGAGTAGAGCAAGCAGAACAGAGCAATAACACATGTTTCCCTGATTCAAACATGAACCGAGTTCACTAAATGAGCTTGGGTCGGGAGGCCGACAATGCAACAAGTCTGCAATGCAGTAGAGGAATAATTTTGCAAATATATTAGTAGAGTTATTTATAAATATCATTGAAGAATTAATCAGTAGTTAAAACTAACTTTGATTGAAAAGTCTTGCATACCACCTGAATATATATTTTCTATATGTGGTTCATTGATAATATGATACTTATAATTTGCATGTTTTTAACATCATAATTAATAAAGAACTTATTTAATTTGCTCCCACTAACATAGATTCTTTTTTTGGGTGCACATTGATATAGATTCTTAGCTAAAAGCCTAAAACACCTAAATTTTTCTCCTCTTTCATCTCTGTCTTTGTTCTTAATCCCTTGATTCCATTTTTCCGGACAAAAACAAAAAAACCAATAAATTCGAGTTTAATAAGGAACAACAAACTTCCAAATAATCGATCTGCAGAGGTTGCGCCGGCTAAACACCAAATCCAAATTAATTAATTATTAATGCATGGATGATGTTTAAAAGAAAAAAAAAAGGAAAAAAAAAACAAAAAAGGAGTCACATTTGTGTGAGACCATCTCATAGATCTTTATTTGTGAGACGGGTCAGGTCACTATGCAAATGTAATATTTATACTAAAAATGTATATTAATTAAGAATAAAGTGTTTGTTACTTATAAGGAAAACTTAATACTTTTCAAGACAAATGTAATACTTTTATATTTTGATGTAAAAGTATTACTTTTTTCATCAAAAGTAATATATTTTCCCTTTATAAGTAATGTTGGCAAGTATTTGTTATTTATAATGAAAATATAATACTTTTGATGAAAAATGTAATACTTTTATATTAAAATGTAGAATGAATTCCATTTTTGGTCCTACTGTTATAGGGGTCATTCCAATTTTAGTCCACCATAATTATTTTTGCCACATTGCATCCACTATTATTAAAAGTGTTCCAATTTTAGTCCACGAAAAATCTTAAAATGAACTAAAATTAGAACACTTTTAATAATAGTGGACGCAATGTGACAAAAATAATTATGGTGGACTAAAATTGGAAAAGCCCCTATAACAGTAGGACCAAAAATGGAATTCACTCTAAAATGTAAAAGTATTACATTTTTCCTTATTATAAAGTTATAAGTAATAAATAATTTATTCACGATTTAATATTATATTTGCTAGTATAAGTATTACATTTCATCTTGACATGACCCGTCTCACATACAAAAATCCGTGAGGCGGTCACACACAAGTTTTTACCTACCATACAACAAATTATTTTTCCAATGTTTATTTAATTTCAAGCTTTAAAAACTAGTAAAATATACAAACAAACAAAAACTAATATTTTTGCATGTGGCCACATGGAGTACAATCATGGCAAACATTTTTTTAAAAATAATTAGATATATACCAATTTTAAAATATTTAAACAATTAACTATATATGTATAGCACCAATTTGTTTTATAATAAAGTCCCCATACTTGTCTTCTTCAGCTTTAGCTGAGGAGGTCGGTATGGCTATTTGTATTTTATGTTTATTATTAGTTTCAATATCTTTGGTCCAACACACTACGGAAAATTATGAAATTTCTGACCACCTAAAAGTAATCTTAAATTAAGTTAAAAGTAAAAGGTGGTTGGAAATAGCAATAAAAGTTTTTTCGGATACTAAGTGGTCGGAACAAGGCTTTTGACTTGATTTAAGATCACTTTCAGATGGTCGGAAATTTCATAATTTCTGGTAGTGACATTTCTTATAAGTCTCAACAATGCTAATTATCTAGCCAATTTATGGGGTGTTTGATAAAATCTTTTTATTTTGAAAATTGATTTATATATCAAATTTAAATATATATATTCATTTACCAAAAATTTTACAATACTTAAAATGCATTGTGCCTATTAGCTAGTATACAAGTATTTTTTATTTTATTTTTAACTATACTGAAGAGAAAGATGGAGATACCATCAAACCACAAGATACTTATCTTGGTCTTAGAAAAAGTATTTTAAAATTAGGAAAATAACTTTGAATTGTTTTATGAAATTTCCGTAAACTTGTTGGAGGAAACGTTTTTGGAACGTGAAAACGCTATTTTTTTTTTTTTTTGAAAGTGTGAAAACGCTAATTAATTATTAAGAAAACCAAAATACGAAGGTACTAATTAAGAATTAAAATTAACATTGTGTCCACTAACTATATCATATAATTACATGGAAAGTGTCATTATATTTTTACTTTTACAAGTTTGGACAAAAAAAAATAATTATAAAATAACACAATGATTATTATTTTTTGAGAAAATGATCAAATACACTCTAGACTATATATAAGAAGTTAATTAGGTCCACGAACTTTTAAAAGTTACAATTAATTAAGCATATATAAACATATCAATTTAGTGCATTGAAGTCCAAAAATCAGTTAGTGATATGTAATAGGCAATAGTTATTGTGTGGATCACGGTAAAAAAACGGCGTCGTTTCTCGCAATTTTTTTCATGTGATCCACTGTAACATACATTTTTATAACTCATAATATACATTATTCTAACTCATAAAGTACATTATTTTTATCCCGAAATTTTATTATTCTAACACATAATTATATTTTTCTAAATCATAAAATTCAACGAAGTTGTTTTGGACCGTGATCCACACAATAATTTACTTTAATAGCAGGTCACTAGAATTTCAACAATACAATATTTTGGCTACCTTCAGGAGAAAATTGAACCCTATTACAGGTCACTACCCGATTTTTGACCATTTTCCTTTTAAGAAAAAAAAAATCCAAAAGGGAGCTTCCCCCATTTGACCACACCCTCTTCATCCTTCTGCAAACTTCAGAGTCTTTTCATATATAATTATATATATGCATCTCTCCTTTCAATTCACATCTCCACACACACACACATATAAAGTCTCCATTTCAGAATCGAAAACCAATAATCAAGAAAAAGAAAATGGCATTTTCCAAAGAAGACAGAAGAAACTGCAGAGTGTTAAGATGGATGAAAACCCTCTTCTTCCTGGCCACCATGTTAGTTTCACTCCTCCTGTTATCGGCGCCGGTTCTTCTCCTCATCGCCGACGCCATTCTCCCCTCCGCTCTGCTGTCGGCGGCGCCGTCGTCGTCTCCGGCGTCCATCTCCCTGAAATCGCTCTCTTCTCACCTCAGCAACTACGATTTCCGCTACTCCCTCATCGACATCCCCCTCATTTCCATCGTCCGCTCCGCCATCATTCTATGTAAGTTCTCGCCTAACAAAAAAATGGTAGAAATCATAAAGTTACTTTAGCGGTAATTTTTTTTTTTTTTTTTTTTTTTTTTTTTTTATACTTTGTGGTGTAATAATATTGTGATTGGTAATTAATTAAATGTTAAATTGTGAAAAAAAAAAAAAAAAGGTTTAGCAGAGACAGTATAAAGTATAATATGTTGGAATCTCATATTATTGGTACCATGCATAGTGGGCGAAAATCAGTTAAATAATAATATACATGATTGTACTTAATCCTATCGACATAATGCATAGTATTACTCCAGCTTGTTTACAAAAGTTTTTTTTTTTAAATAAAAATTAAACTGTCAATCGATCATATCAAATGAACTTTTACGTTCCAAGTATATATAATATGGTCGGGCATTGTGACCTTGAGGATCACAAGTTCGATTCCCAGTCAGAGGATGCCTAGTTATTGACCTCAGCTCTTAGATGAGCTACAAACATATTTAATCTATTGTGCATTTTTAGATATCAATGCCAGGTTTTCAAGTAAAACAATTGTATTTATAAATGTATCACAATTATTTTATTATATAAATTATTTTCATTATGATAATATAATACCTTTTTTTGGCTATTATATGAATATGAATATAGGTGTGTATAGTTTGTGTGACGGTCCAAGGCTATCAAGGGGACCATATTTGGGAATTGCGACCATATGTTCGGTTTCATCATTGGTGTTTTTGTCACTGAAAGCTGGGTATATTTTTGGAAATTATTGGAGTTCAAGTTTAGACTCGAATAAAGAAAGATTGGGTTATACAATAGATGTAGCGCTATTTACATGCTCATTTCTGATGGCGATTGCACACATCGTGGTGGCATATAGGATCAGTTGTAGAGAGAGGAGGAAACTCCTCGTGTTCAAGATTGATATCGAAACTGTAAGTTAAATTTACCTATTTCTTAAGTAGACGTTATATGCCTTTATTTAGGATTAATTATCAGAGTGTGAGATCACAGTTGAAAATCACGGTATTTCTGATCACCTGAAAATGGTAAAAATACCTTAATTTAGTCGGAAACACCAATTCCGACTACTTTTCTGACCACATTGGTTATCTGAAAAAAACTTTGGTCACGTACTATTTCCGACCACTCGCAAAAGTGGTCAGAAGAGCGACCACTCTATTCCCACGTGGTCGGAAAAAAACCAAGAGATTTGGCCGGTTGGAAATTCCAACCTCCATGTATATATAGGCGGACAGAATTTCCAACCACCTCCTCCACTGCAATTCTTTGCCGAGAAAAGAGAAAAAAAAAAACCCCTTTTTCCCAATCACTTTTGGTAGTGGTCGAAAATTCAATAATTCCTAGTTATTATTTTTTTATCTTACCGTAAACTGGTAAACGTGATATTTTTTATAATCATTTTTATAAAATTTTATTTAATTAGTAACTGACATGCACATGGTCACATGAACGCAGGTCTCGGCATGCAAGAATGGATTTTCAAGATATCCTAAAATACTCCAAGAAAGACAATTGTGAGAAAAAAAAAAAAAAAATACATACCAACATGTGGTGGGTATGTTTTTTGGGTGATTCTTGGACCAGTCAAGTTTCCAGGTTTCAGGTAATACTGCAAATTAAAATATATTATGATTATAGATAACATAGTTAACTTATCAACCAATTTTAATTTGTCCGACCATTATTAGCTATTTGACTCGGTTAAAGAGTCAATATAAGTGTTTAATTAATTAGTTTTTTGTAACAACTTATTGCTCTAAAATGTTAAAGTTTAAAAGGTTGTTCAAACTTGTTTTTTCGATCAATTTTTTTTAGAAAGTCATATTGCATGTAATTAACTATCAACTAACAGCTAATTTACCAAACATCTTTAAGTTAATGTTATCAACTACTCAAATCCACGGCAAATTATGCCCTGGACCCGTGTCCACAATGAATTGTGGACACGGGCCCAAAACGACATCGTTTTTTAAAAAAAACGCGTCATTTAGTTAAAAAAAAAAAAAAAAAAAAAATTCACGCGCGTTTTGCCGTTAACGGCGTTAACGGCGTTATTTTTTTTTTTTGATTATGAATGTACAGTTATGCCATTATGAATGTACAGTTATGCCGTTATGAATATACAATTATGCAATTATGAAATTATGAACACAGAGCTCTAACATTATAAACTTACAATTATGAACATATATAGTGATAAA